AACGACATTTTAGAACTTAAATATCAGTTATTTAGAGAGTCTAAATAAAAATTCAGTAGAGGATTGAAGGATGAAATCAAAGACATTTCCGAGACATTAAAACAAATGCCCTTGAGGCAAAAGGAAAAAGACTCAGAAAAGATCATTGTTCCCTTTCTCGGGTTAAGGGGTCCCTAGGATCAGCAGAGGTCCCCCCTTTAGAGCTCAGGAAGTAGAACTTAAGGTGACCGTTAAAGCTGCTCTTAAGTTCCATCTTGGCTCTGCATATACTTGATTCTCATTCTTATTTCTAGTGCTCTTGCAGCTGTTTCCCTTCTATTTGATACTGTTTATAGATTTTTTGAACGCCTTCATTGCTTTCTTTTGCGTAATAAAGCAGTACGCAGTAAAATATTGAGAAAACAGTACAAAGAAGGAAATAAAAGCACATGGAATCTCACCACTCAGAAATGGCGATCACAACTAACAACTTTTTGTCTATGGTGTCCTGTGCATATTGCAGTTAGTGATTCTTTGAATTTGTACGATGCAAATTTACGTCTTTGTTTTAAATTCATGAACATTTTCCTATACCATTAAAATGATGTATATACATCATTTTAAATGATTCCACAATAGCATATCTTTTGAAGGTACCATATTTTATTTAACCATTTGCCTGTTGTTGCGTATTTAGTGTGTTTATATCTATATAAATAAAACAAAAGTTCATTCCGTTTGTCTCTCTTTTTTTTTTTTTTTTTTTTTTTTTTTGCGGTACGCGGGCCTCTCACTGTTGTGGCCTCTCCTGTTGCGGAGCACAGGCTCCGGACGCGCAGGCTCAGTGGCCATGGCTTACCGGCCCAGCCACTCCGCGGCATGTGGGATCTTCCCGGACCGGGGCACGAACCCGTGTCCCCTGCATCGGCAGGCGGACTCTCAACCACTGCGCCACCAGGGAAGCCCCCGTTTGTTTCTTACTGGACCACATGAAAAATTACACAACAGATTTTCATCAAACTTGGGAAGCATGTTTGCGATAGCCAGATTCAAAGTGTAGGCTATGAAGAATAGAGTATATCCATGTTGTGAAGCTTGATGGAGAAATAATAGGGGAGGGAAAATAATTTTCCCTCTACCTTTCTGAGTTCTTGGCTGAGACGTCCTGTGACAAAAGGCAGATTAACAAGAGAAAAGCAAACACATTTATTAACACGTATACCTCATGTATACATGGAAGATACCCAGGAAAATTGAGTAAGTCCCAAGATGGCCCAAGTCACCACCTTAAATACCATCTTTAGCTACAGACAAAAAAGGATGTTGGTGGACTTCCCTGACGGTCCAGTGGTTAAGACTTCATCTTCCAATGCAGGGGGTGCAGGTTCGATCCCAGATCGAGGAGCTAAGATCCCACATGCTTTGAGGCCAAAAAACCAAAAACATAAAACAGAAGCAGTATTGTAACAAATTCAATAAAGACTTTAAAAATGGCCCACATCAAAAAAAAAATCTTATAAAAAATAGGATGTTGACAGAGAACTATATTAACCACAATGGAAAAGAATATTAAAAAAATAACTGAATCACTTTGCTGTACAGCAGAAATTAACACAACATTATAAATCAACTATACTTCAACAAAAGAAGAAAACTCATCTAACTATGAAAAAAAAAAAAAAGATGTTGGGGCAAAAAGAAGGCCAGCTATGGGAGGTTACCACGGAAAGCATGGTAAACAAGGGTAAGGTTTATTATGCAGGTTACATCAGTGCCTTCTCCATTGATAAGAGTTCCTGGACATTTAGAGTCAACCTTCTCTTCTAGTACAGAGAGGGAAACACCTTTACAAGAGATTTCCTTTGTAAAATGTACATGTCCCTTACAAAAGGGTAACTTCTACTCTGTTTTCAGAGCTTCTGCTGTTTCTTAAAATAATTGGTTGAAAACAATCCTTATGCCAAAGAGGCATATTTGGGGGTGGCAAATTCTGCTATCCTTCACATCTCAAATTGATGAACAGGCATCCTTGAAAACAACTGAAATAAAAAGAGACAAAAAGAGATCCATGACTGGAGCGAGACTTGTCACACATAACATGACACTGTAGATAGAAATCAGACATAATGGCTTCCATCTTTGTGTCCCCAATCAAATGGCCTGAGAACATCCAAACCTGATTACAGCTACTGATTTGGAATCAAATTGCTTTTCAAGTAGGCAACTCGATGAGGAATACCAAAGGCATTTCTGTCCAACAGAATGTTTACAGTGATAGAAACCTGGAATATCCAATGTCAAACACTTGGAAAGTCAGCAGATGACGGACAAGTAAAGTCATCTTCCTTCCATCTCTCTCATCATGTAGCACCTGGCGAGTAGCTGCCCTGGGTACCCCCAGCCTTAGGAATTAGTCTTTTTTCTTTTTAACTTTTTATTTTATATTGGAGTATAGTTGATTAACAAGGTTGTGATATATCGTTTCAGGTGTAGAGCAAACTGATTCAGTTATGTATATGCATGTATCTATTCTTTTTCAAATTCTTTTCCCATTTAGGTTGTTACATAATATTGAACAAGAGTTCCCTGTGCTATACAGTAGGTCCTTGTTGGTTATACATTTTAAATAGAGCAGTGTGTACATGTTAATCCCAAACTCCCTAACTATCCCTTCCCCCAACCCTTCCCCCTGGTAACCATAAGTTTGTTCTTTAACTCTGCAAGTCTGTTTCCATTTTGTAAATAAGTTCATTTGTATCACTTCTTTTTAGATTCCTTTCTCTTTCTCTTTCTCTGTCTGACTTACTTCACTCAGTATGACAATCTCTAGGTCCACCCATGTCGCTGCAAATGGCATGATTTCATTCCTTTTAATGGCTGAGTAATATTCCATTGTATATATGTACCACATCTCCATTCCTTATGAGTTAATCTTTACATTAAATATTTAAAAGAATGGCTGGAGCTTCTATAACATGTATAGCAAGAGAGACTTTACGTTCCCTGATATCTCTGAGATTTCTTACAATCTCCAGCTGAATTAAAAATCACTTGTATCTCAAAAAACAAACAAACAAACAAATAAATAAAATAAAAAACAAACAAAAAGAAATTAAAAAAAATCACTTGCATCCCTCCTCTCTTTTCCCCACCCTGGTTCCGCTCACGTTTGAGCACAGCCCCTTTCCTTTTTAACCTAAGGTTCTTCTCCCATTGTGTAGTTGTGTAAGTAGAATTTACCCAAGATTTGGCATTAAGGTTGGATTGCTTGTGACTGGCCAGTTTCGCATCTTGGGCCCCCCGGCCTCTGACCTTGTTGCTAGATCATTCCCTCCTCCCACCTCTTTCTCAGCCTTTCTCTCATCTCTCTTAATCCTTCTTTAGTCTATCCCATCAAGAGTTCATATTTTCTCCCATTTTTTAGCAAAGCAATTAACTTCTCTGTCTGACCATGTCTATGGGCTTCCTCTTTTATACACAGAGGTGTCATCAAGATACTCTCTTAATCTCTTTTTTTCAATCAATCAATCAATTAATTAATTTTTGGCTGTGTAGGGTTTTTGTTGCTGCGCACGGGCTTTCTCTGGTTGCGGAGAGCAGGGGCTACTCTTTGTAGCAGTGTACAGGCTTCTCATTGCTGTAGCTTCTCTTGTTGTGGAACACGGATTTTAGGTGCACAGGCTTCAGTAGTTGTGGCACACGGGCTCAGTAGTTGTGGCACGTGGGCTCAATAGTTGTGGTGCACAGCCTTTGTTGCTCTGTGGCGTGTGGGATCTTCCTGGACCAGGGCTCTAACCCGTGTCCCCTACATTGGCAGGTGGATTCTTAGCCACTGAGCCACCAGGGAAGTCCTTACTCTCTTAATCCTTGATGGTTCTCCCTCTAAGAGGAATTCCTCAGTTAACATTTAACATAATAAAAAACTTTCACCTACCCACCTATATCCATCCGTCTTTACTGTCATCCAGTCATCCCTCATTTGTCTAATTAATCCATCCCCCTGCCAACACCTACACATTCATCCATTCACCCAGCTCTCAGCCTCTCTGCTTTTCACTGATTTCCTCCATCCTCCTCCAGAGACCTAGAACATTCTGTATGGGAAGTTTCTTTCTCTCATTTTTTTAAAGAGAAACTTATGCTTTGCAGAAACAACTATCAGCTGGCTTGAAATGATAAACGGGAAATAGATGAGAGGTGCATTGCTGGGAATGAACTCTTATAATCTTTGCTTGGGCAAGGGAAGGGCAGATAAGACCCAAATTAGAATTAAGTGAACAAAACCAAGTGAGGTTTGGGCCATTCACTGAAGGAGCTTGGCCAGGGGTGACATGTTCGCATATATCAAAAGTTAGGGTGGGCTTCCCTGGTGGCGCAGTGGTTGAGAGTCCGCCTGCTGATGCAGGGGACACGGGTTCGTGCCCCGGTCCGGGAAGATCCCACATGCCGCGGAGCGGCTGGGCCCGTGAGCCATGGCCGCTGAGCCTGCGCGTCTGGAGCCTGTGCTCCGCAACCGGAGAGGCCACAACAGTGAGAGGCCCACGTACCGCAAAAAAAAAAAAAAAAAAAAGGGTGTTGGTGAAACACACCCACAGTGCAAACACACCCACACCCACTCAGAAATACTTAATACTTTGAGTTTAGCTTGAATTCAGCCACACACTCATTGTACTGATGACAATAGGACAGCCGATAATTAACCTGTGAACTATGACGGGATTATTTCTGAAAGTTGAATCCCTCAGCATGTTGCAGAGGTCCTATAATTGATGGATCACTAATAATGCTGCACTGTAAAAAAAAAAGGTATGCTTGAATATATGTAGCATCTAACGTTTATATTATACATCAGGATTGTCTTAGATTTGCTAATTGTTCTTACTACTTTTCTTAATTGTGTTAAGTAGTTGAAAGTAACTTTTTAGCATTAGATACATAGGCCAAATTTGAAATACATTCCATTCTTCAAAACACTACCCCTGGACCTGACAATGACCAATTATTGCTTTTTTTCTCTTTAGGCAGGGAAAGTTCTTCCGATTGGATACAGAGCTGCAAACTGCTTGACTGAAAAACTTCCCAGGGTGAGTGTTTTCAAAATGCATTTGTGTGTGGGGCTTCCCTGGTGGTGCAGTGGTTGAGGGTCCGCCTGCCGGTGCAGGGGACACGGGTTCGTGCCCCGGTCCGGGAAGATCCCACATGCCGCGGAGCGGCTGGGCCCGTGAGCCATGGCCGCTGAGCCTGGGCGTCCGGAGCCTGTGCTCTGCAACGGGAGGGGCCAAAAAGTGGGAGGCCCGCATACTGAAAAAAAAAAAAAAAAATGCATTTGTGTGAACATAAGATAAACAACGCTCAACATTCCTTCTGAGAGTTGCATAAATTTAACGTGGTCAATTTGGATTATTTTTACTGTATTTTGGGGCCTTCTATTGAGTTTGTCCGAGGAAGTGAAAATTCCAGGCTTACAATTTCCAGCTCTACAAAAACTACAGAAGATTCCATTTATTTCGATGGGAAATAGTCATTTATGGTATGCTTCCTAACCTGGATACTTCTTGGCTGTTTTCTAAATATAACTTTTAAAATATGTTGTTTATTTCTATTAAAAAATTTTCAGGATGTTTCATTTTTTGAAGCTGTAGATCCCCAGGTACTGATTAAACTCATGTAATGAAGGGTGTTCATTGATTGGTATAGATCAGTCTTGCTAATATCTAATCGACTGTACTTAATAATTCTATTTTCTTCTCTCCCTGTTGGTAGCTAATGACCCCACCTGAAGCAAAAAAATTTTTCAACTTCAGATATCCACCTGCTGGAGCCGAAAGAGTATTTTACGGCAGAGCAAATGATCCCCAAATTGCACCTTCTTTGACACATGGAATCAGATCTAAAATTTCAACACCGGTAACGTCTTTTCTATTTTTCCCTGTACATTATTCACTTACCAAGGTGAAAATGAACAAATGAGGTATTAGTGAAATATCTCCTTCCCACTCTTAATCTTGGGCAGTGAAAAAAATCCAAGCAGCCGCAGCCAAGAGGGTGAGTGTAGAAAAGTCAATGGTTTAAGCCACAGACTAATATTCTCCCCTCAGATAATAAAAGCCAAGCTGCACTTAATTTTCTCACAGTAAAGAGAAGTGCTGTCAAGGTTTGTTAAAGCATGGTGGGGACAAAGGCTGGGTGATATTGCTGGAGATGCTAAGAGCGCTTGTACATGCATTGTGTGCACGCAGGGTCCCGGTGTTCCCTGCTACAGATTGAATGGACAGTCAAGGGTCAGAAGACCTGATCTTATACCTGGAGGGAGCTGGTGGGAATCACGTGGCTCTTGCACTTGTCATTCCTACTTTTCTGGAACCTTTGAGTCAAGTAACCAGGGAGTTGCCCTCATAAATGCTTTAGCCCCAATGAAAAGTCATGTTTAGATATGTCTAAGCTGCATAACCCCAATTCTGATGGTTCATTTGAAGGTGAGCCCAGACAACTATCATGAAATGTTTTCCCACAATCATATTGTCTTCTCCCCAGCTATTGAGTTTCAGTGTTCAGACTTTTTTCCTTTTTTTGGTTGTTACATCTTTGCTTTGTACGATTTCTTTAGGCAAAGGTACTGATCAACCCACAGCCTATTACAACCTTTCAACAGAAAATGAAAGATAAGAAGGAATCAGTATATTTTAGCAATCAACGGGCACCATTAGGAAAATCTCATGATCAGACGCCAGGATTACCTAAAGGCCTGGATATACTCAACACGACATTTGGGACGGCAGTCATCAGAGGTAGTGAAAATAAAGGGTGGGGCAGGAGTGATAAAATGTCTTCTTAGAAAATGGGATTAAATATCCTGTTGGGATTTATTTAGTGCTGGTGTAAATGTTGATCCCAGAATGAAAGGTGGGAATCATAGCAAGAAAGTTACTCTCAGACCCAGAAGCCTTAGAGTTGATGTATGTCAAGGCAGTAAGAGTTCAGGGTTTGGAGAGGAGATTCAGGGAGCAGAGTAGAGATGGTGTAAAGACAGGAAAAAGACTCCGGGAAGTTGATCTTGGGACCAGCTGTGAGGGTTGCTATCTCTTTCCCCTGGACATCTATTTGTGTGTTTTATTTCCACCAAAACCTCTAATGTGTTCATAACTTTTAATTCTTTTAAAAAAATTTTTTTGTGTTGAAGTATAGTTGATGTACAATATTGTGTAAATTTCTGCTGTACAGCAAAGTGACTCAGTAATGCACATATATACATAATTTTTTGTATTCTTCTCTGTGATGGTTTATCCCAGGATGTTAAATATAGTTAGTTCCCTGTGCTATACAGTAGGACTGTATTGTTTATCCATTCTATATATACCGGTTTGCAACTGCTAGCCCCAAACTCCCCATCCATCCCTCCTCCACCCACCCTCTCCCTTGGCAACCACCAGTTTGTTCTCTACGTCTGTGCTTAACTCTTTATGAAATTCTGTTTCATACAAAGACCACAAAACAGATGTTAGGTAAATGCTGTGTACAGCACTCATTCATGAAGATCCATGATGTGTACACTTGCTTATTAACCTAACAGGCAGTATCAGAGCAGATTCCCCTCTCATCTTGAGAGGGAGTGAAGCAATCTTTCAACAAATGACTTAGAATAGAATTGGTCACAGGCCATTTTTTCTTCTGCAGCCCCAGCATCCTGCCATGTTGTTGGGTGCTTTCCCTTTACACCTTCTCACGTTTAGCCTTTTCTGGTCTCTTACCCTCTCCTTCCAGGGATCTTATTACAGGAAAACTCAAATCCCATCTTTTTATCATCCTGCAGAGGAATTCGCTTCTTTCTTTATCTTTCTGCACCCACTGCAGCTCTGCACCAGGAACTTATCTTTTTTTCACCAAAATGTCCATTAGATTACTTTCCTTAACATAGTAACATCCGTTCTGGAGATAAATTATGCCTTTCTCTTGGAATGCAAAATCTGCAGTTGTACTTTAGTTTATCAGATCTAAAGTTAAAACTTGTTAAAACTTGAAACATGAAAAATGTATTTTAGAACAGATAGAATATCTTTTTTTCTTTTAAATAGGATTAAAAATTGTATTTAAGTACACCAGGCATTACAGAATTACAGTAATTATATCATAACCGCTATCAAGAATTTAATATGCAAAGTACTGCCTAGGTGTGCCTCATTTAAATATGTAATAGAAAGAATGTTCTAAAATGTATATATGTGTATTAATAGGTGTAATGGTTCCCACATCAAAAAGAAGCACTGCTTTACAGGATTATTCTGAGTAGGGCTACCTTCTGGTATTCTTAACTGTTTACAGACCCCACTTCTTGGCAGAAAGTCCAAAAGAAAACATCTTAATGTATGTTGTTAGGTTGAAAGAGAAGAGTGAAATTGTAAATGGAATTATATTTAAAAATCATTACATGAAACAATAAAAAGAAAATAATTCGCTATATATAAAACCAGGGACCACCAGTCCTGGGAAAGCAGCTGTTCAACAAAGATCTTCTAGCTCTAGGTTTGGGAGCAGTAAGAAGAAGAATTTCTTTCTGATGCCAGTGATTTCCCCGGCACTTCGGGCTACTTTGAAGATGGATATTCACATCTAAACAGATTCAGGGTGTGTGCTGTTGTCTACAGCTGCCAACATTTGCATCAAGTCTTCCCCACAGGGCATCAGGGTTTCTGAAACTGATTTGTGATTCAAATTTGCCTAGATCATCTTGGGAAGTCTGGAGCAAACTAAAATAAAAAGTATCCTTTTGAGATCCTCAAAACTGGGAATTTAACTGGGCTTGGCACATAGCTCAGGACAACCAAATGGTTAACCAGTATGGAGTTCTTCAGAATTCTAGGGATTGAATCTGTTCAAGTGGGATCCTCAAGACAATGATGCCTGGGCTATTCCTGTCTTTGGTGATAAATCTCTATGTATGTTGGCTTTTTGCCCATGTAGCTTATGTAGTTAGCATACCAGTTTGTCATTTGCTCTAGTCAACTTAAATATGTTATAAAGAGCTGAAAAATGCCTTAAAACTGATTTCATTAATTCTTCCTTCAGAATTATCTGCTAGAGAGGTGGTGAATCCACCAAAATCCTATCAAGAAGTATTTGAAGAAGGACAGGCAGGACACGATCTGTATATTGTATCTCACAATGATTATTATGCAGGTAAGTCTCCTCCAGTGTAAAATGGGCCTGAGAATATGAGACTCAGATTTGTGAAGAGGAATAAGGGAGATGATGTGCTTAAAGTTAAAATGCCTGGCATATAATAGGTGATCAATAAATAATAACTTATTACTTATAAGGTTATAAACCCCGATAGCTGGGAACACATACACTTATGCATTTTGGGTGTAAAATGTAGAAAGATATGTTTCATTAAAATGAAAAAAATAGCTAAGTAAGATTAAATGTTGGGTAGTCTAATCTTGTTTTTTATTCAAATAGGATTATTCTAAGTGCTTTGCTTTACACGAGGAATATTAGATAATGGTCAAGTGCAGAAATTTTCGAGTCAGATCAAGTTCAAGGCCTAGCTTGTCCATTTATTATCTTTTAGACCTTGAATATTTTACTTATCACCATCTATTTTAAATTTATTAAATAGGGATAATAATGTTGCGAGGATGAAGTGAGTGCCTGCAAAATGCCAAGCATTTTGGAACATAGTGAGGGCTCAGTAACTATTATCATTATTATTATTATTATTATTAAGTGATCTTGACTAAAAGCCTTATTACTAGAATTATTCTATAGCATAACTAAAAGGCATTGGATGTTTGCTGTAAACTACAATTTAATTGTTGACGTGTGGGTGCTAAGTAGAATCTTGATCTAACAGAGGATTGACAATTAGACTCTGATACCTGTCCTGAGAAAGCCGATGGCCTGTGCATGATTCACGAACTAATCTGCATTAGTTAGAAGTAAGACTAGCCCTTCACTGCAGCACAAGACCCCTCTCTCCGTCTTTATTTCTTTACTTTTCTCCTCCACCGCCCCCTCACATCATACTCCTTCTGGGGCTTGTGTGCTATGCCCATTGCTCCCCGGCTGGAGTCAGCCATTCCCTTCTCCCATGACCAGTCTTTGCTGGTTCCTTACGCTGCCGGTACACCCCGGTCCTGAGATCATCTCCATCCTCCCACGGCTGCTTCCACCGCGCTTTTTCACAGCCTTGACAAGGCTTCTCTCCGTGTCTCCTCCGCCGCCGCGTCCCTGGCTCTGTCCCTCCCTTTCTTCTTCTTTAATATACATTTATTTTATTTTATTTATTTTTGGCTGAGTTGGGTCTTTGTTGCTGCGCGTGGGCTTCCTTTAGTGGTGGTGAGCAGGGGCTACTCTTCGTTGCAGTGCGTGGGCTTCTCATTGCGGGGGCTTCTCTTGTTGTGCAGCACGGGCTCTAGGCGCGTGGGCTTCAGTAGTTGTGGCATGCAGGCTCAGTGGTTGTGGCTCGCGGGCTCTAGAGCGTAGGCTCGGTAGTTGTGGCACACGGGCTTAGCTGCTCTGTGGCATCTTCCTGGACCAGGGCCGGAACCCGTGTCTCCTGCACTGGCAGGCGGATTCTTAACCACTGCGCCACCAGGGAAGTCCCCTCCCTTTCTTCTTTTCCTCCTTCTAGTCTTTCTTTTCTTTATTCCTCCTTCCCTCCATTCCTCTCTTGTGAAAATATTTTATTCATTTTTAGAAAAGTTTAGCATCGATAGCACAATCTAATCCAATGCCATTTAATTGTTTTAAGAAAGAACTATTTCAGTGAATATGTATATAGACACCCTTTACATGCATTTAGCATTTGGAGGAAAATTTGGAGGAAAATGAGTGTAGTTTTAAAATTATTTATTTATATTGGAGTATAGTTGATTTACAATGTTGTGTTAGTTTCTGGTGTACAGCAAAGTGATTCAGTTATACATATGTGCATTCTTTTCCATTATGGTTTATTACAGGATATTGAATATAGTTCCCTGTGCTCTACACTAGGACCTTGTTGTTTATCCATTCTATATATGGTAGTTTGCATCTGCTAGTCCCAAACTCCCAGTCCAATTTTTTTTTTTAATATTTAGAAGACTCTAATGGACTATCACATGACTGAAATTACTTTCATTTGCTGATTTTTACAAAAGTCTCACTAGCCTCTTGAAAAGGAATAGAATCCAATCCTTTAAATATTTATTTTTTACTTTTCCCCTTTAATGAAAGCACTATTTTTTATTATAAAAATATAATTGTAGAGAATGTAAATATCATGGAAAAATGAAGAAAAAGTAAATGTAACCTTGGAATCCCATTAGCCAGAGATAACTACATTTGATACATCAAACATCTTTCTAACCCCCATCCATGGAGCTATCTTCAGTTAAATGTGACAATAATCTTCATGCTTTTGGAGAAACTGCTATATGCATTTACTTGAAATAGTATGTCAAGGACATCATTCAATAACAATAACAACCTCTTTTAAATACACTTAATTTAAATTATTACTAAAGTAATACATATTTTCTTTTATAAAATTCAGGTTGTATAGAAGTATATGAAATGCAAAGAAAATCTCCCACAATTCCCAGTCTGCCATAGGTGATACTTTCATATATGTTTTTCTTTGCTCATTCATATATGAGTGTATGTGTGTGTTTTGCATCCTACTGTACACACTTTTTTCTTTCCCTTTTTCTCCCTGCCCCCCCCCAAATATGAAATTTCTTGGTTGTCTTTTCAGGTCAGTTATCAATATTGTATTTTTCAGGATTACAAAAATGGATTGTTTATATATCTTTGTGAATGTGATTTGTTTCCATAGGATACATTCCTACATTTCTGAGCATCTGAAAATTTCACTCTTAGAGCCAAACTCTCCACCTGAATAGCTGCCCCAGTTTGCCCTCACAGGCACAGTGTATGAGAATTTCCATTTCCCTGCATCTTCCCCAAAGGCGAACTTTGCCCATCTTCTTTATTTTTGCTTAACTGAGAGTCGAATTATGACTGTGCGCTATTGTTTTTGCTTACATTATTTGGGTTGCTGGTGAGGCTGAATATCTTTTCTCCATCATTTTATAACCTTATAGCTGATCTCTAGTTTCAGTCTTACTTTCTTAACTACAAATAGAAAACTAATACCACATCATGGTACAGTACTAGATCTTAAAAATAAAGACCTCCCTGTTGGGTTCTCAGCCCTCTATCACGCTTTGAATGTCTCTAATACGAGACAAGTGATTATAACGAAATGTGAAGGTTGTAACGCAAATCTCAGTGAGAGCAAGTATAAAACACCAATCTCTCAAATCTTAGCATAGCTTAAAGCACCGCTGGGGTCACAAAGCCTTGCAGTACCTCCCCTGATCTTAAGGATTTCTTTAACATTGATGGGCCCTGAATTTTTCATCAGTTATATGTCTTTCTCCTACATCATTTTTCTACTTACTTTCCAAATATTAACACAAGGAACCCTTGTTCCACCAGTCTCCCAGCTCACATGGGAGAATGCGTCTGTCATCTGTAGCCAAATGTGTGCAGTTTCCTGCGCTGTGACAGTTCCATTCTTTTTCCCACTCTCATTTTCATTGTCAGTGAGAACATCATGCACTTCTTGCACAAAGTTGTGTTGCTTAAGTCAGAAGTCTTCCCTTTTCTTTTCTTAGGAGAAGCAAAGCACCGAAAGTATAATCCATCAAGTTTTCATAGATTTAACTTGTATGGGATCCCAACACCACATTTTAATGATGGACGAAACATGGCAAAAACTTTACATTGGCTTCACGAACTACAAATGTAAGTTTAAGTATGTTGTGTCTTGGAACAAGTGTTAGATATATGGCATATGGACTTGAAAGTTTATTACGTTTATTCTTGGAAGAGGTAATGCAGTGACATGGTTCAAACATAAAAATAATAGAAAAAGATACACAGTGATATGTCTTCTAAACTGTCCAGTTCCCCCAGAGATAACCATGATACTGTCTTTTTGTTGTTGGGTTTTTTTCTGTTTGATTTTTTGTTTGTTTTTGACCACGTGGCTTGCAGGATCTTAGTTCTTCCAGCAGGTATAGAGCCTAGGCCCCCTGCAATGGAAGTGCAGACTCCTAACCACTGGACTGCCATGGAATTCCCTGTGTGTGTGTTTGTGATTCTAAAGTAATTTCATGTCTTTTCAGCAGATTGGAAGACATACATGAATGTTTTTAATCTATGGGATCAACCCTACTATGTTTCTTAAAGATAGTGGGGTTTCAAGTCTCGACAAAGACAATCATGTGACATATAATTGACCTGTCATTTATCATTCAGCTTTCTTTAATAGTTATTTGGGCACCTGAGCATCTGACTTAACTCTCACAAACTGTGACCTTTTTACACCTGCATTCTACATTTTGACTACTTTCCTAAGAAATTAAAATAAGTTTCCTTAGTTTTTCATTCCCTGCCTTACATTTTATATCTAAGCCAACAAACAAAATAAAAACCTATATTTCCTACTATGTTTAAAAAATCAGAAGATTGAAAATACTGAGGTACTGGGTTGAATGGTGGCCCCCAAAGATGTCCATGTTCTAATTCCCAAAACCTATGAAGGTTGTATTATATGGGAAAAGGGTCTTTGTAAATGCAATTAAGTTAAAGATCTTGAGATAAAGAGATCATTCTGGATGATCTGGGTGGACCCTAAATCCAATGACAAGTGTCCTCATAAGGGAAAGGCAGAGGGAGGTTTGAGACAGAAAAGCAGAAGACATTCAGAGGAGAAGAAGGTGATGTGAAGATGGAGGAGGCTGGGATGATGTGACAGCAAGCTAAGGAAGGCCAAAAAAAAAAAAAAAAAAATGCCAACAGCCTCCAGATGTTGGAAGAAGCAATGAACAGATTATCCCCTAGAGCCTTTGGAGGGAATGCAGCCTTGCTGTCACCTTGATCTCAGACTTCTGGTCTCTAGAACTGTGAGAGAATACATTTCTACTGTTTTAAGCCACAAGTTCATGGTAATGTGTCTAGCACCCACAGGAAACGAATATACTGGGCTTGCATTTCTATACATTAATGGTGAGAGTGGATTTGCTTTGCTCTCTGCCCTCTTTATTTTTTTAGTTTGTAACTTTTTAAAAATAAATTTTTATTGGAGTATAGTTGATTTACAGTGTGTTGGGACTTCCCTGGCCATCCACTCTGAGCTTCCACTGCAGGGGTTGCGGGTTCGATCCCTGGTCAGGGAACTGAGATCCCACGTGACTGCACAGTGCGGCCAAAAACAAAAACAAAACAAAACAAAACAAAACAAATACAATGTTGCATTACTTTCTGCTGTACAGCAAAGTGAACCAGTCGTACATGTACATCTATCCACTCTTTTTTAGATTCTTTTCCCATATAGGTCAGTACAGTGTATTGAGTAGAGTTCCCTGTGCTCTACAGTAGGTCCTTGTTGTTTATCTATTTTATATACAGTAGTGTGTATAAGTCAATCCCAATATTCCAATTTATCCCGCCCCCCCATTCCCCCTTGGTAACCATAAGTTTGTTTTCTACATCTGTGACATCATTTCTGTTTTGTAAATAAGTTCATTTGTACCATTTTTTACACCCTCTGTCCTCTTTAAAGGATACACTGGCCCTCCAAGTTTCCACAGGCCCCCAGGGTGCACACAGAGTTTGCACATTCCCACAGGCACTCACCTGCCTCCCTCATTTGCCTGTCTGGTCGCTGAAATAACAGCTCCCAGTTATAGAGGCCAAATGCTTAGTACTTTATATATGATTAATTTAATACTACCAACACCTCTGTGAGGTAGGTGTACTATAATTTTTTTTCAGGGGGGTATGGAAAAGTTTATTCACTGAACCTATCTATGAAACAGAAACAAAATCAGGGACACAGAGAATAGACTGGTGGTTGCCAAGGGGGCGAGAGGGTGGGAGAGGGTAGGATTGGGAGTTTAGGATTAGCAGATGCAAACTGGTATATACAGGATGGATAAACAACAAGGTCCTACTGTACAGCACAGGGAACTATATTCAGTGTCCTGTGATAAACCATAATGGAAAAGAATATGAGAAAGAATGTATATATATGCATAACCGAGTCACTTTGCTATACAGCAAACTAACAACACTGTAATTCAACTATACTTCAGGTGTACTAGAATTTTAGCCTTTCCATTTTACCGATGAAGAAACTGAAGTACAGAGAATGAAATCATTTGCCCAAGATCATGCAACTGAGAAATACTAGGGGTAGGGATGCAACCCTGGCAGTGTGTCTCCAGGGGCTGTCTTTAACCACTACACCAGGGGTATAGACAGTGGATTCTGTGATCCCAGGCCTGAAATTTTGATTTCCATTCTTCTCCCACTCCCTTATTATATGAGTTTCTGATACTTGAATTATTGAAAACAATAATGTTAAAACACAAACACAGAAGAAATTCTTTCAATATTACACTAAACCCATATGAGATAGTTTTTCTTTAGGGTATAGAAGAAGAGCTTATAAAACAAATATTCATGAATTTATCGCTATTAAAGTTGTTAAAACATACATAAAGGAAAACATGAAGAAATGATTTAAGTATTTCACTAGATATTTATAATTAAATATAACATAGAAATTGATACTTAAAAGAAGGTGACAAATATGGTTTATCCACTTCTGAAAGCTTAGAAATATTAAACCTACTATCCATTTCTTAAAGATATGAAATAAACATATTCACAAGGTGGTCCTTAAGGAGGTCCTAAGAGTAGAGCTTTTGGGTCATTAACAAGCACATTAGGGATAGTCATAAAAAACCACACTGAATTTATAAAAGCAGGCCATATGCAGGATGCATTTCCCACCAACTTGTCTCTACCCACAAGGAAACATCATTTATGGAACACTGTTTTATTTGATCACTTTCTGTATTTCGAACTTAGTTGGAAAATTATTGCTGAAATGATAGATTCTTTATTCCCTTGATTTGTTGTATTTCAAAAAGGACTCACTGCTTCATTCTTCAGTGTGGTTTCTATTATAAACTTGGAGTGAAGTATATTCGTTTACATCTCTTTTTTTTTTGTTCCTATTTTCTTCTTTTTTTGTCTTTATTTTTAAATTGAAGAATAGTTGATTTACAATGTTGTGTTAGTTTCAGGTGTTTCAGGTGTACGACAAAGTGATTTATTTATTCACATATACATAAATTTAATCTTTTTCGGGTTCTTTTCCATTCTAAGTTATTATAAGATATGCAGTATAGTTCCCTGTGCTATACAGGGACTACTGTATGGCACAGGGCCTACTGTATAGTACACGGAACTATATTCCTGTTACATATATTCCTGTTACATATATTGGTTACTTATTTTATATATAGTAGTGTGTAACTGTTAATCCCAAACTCCTAATTTATCTCTCCCCCACCTTCCCCTTTGGTAACCATTGTTTGTCTTCTATGTCTATGAGTCTCTTTCTGTTTTGTTTACATCTCACTTTGATATGCACTATTTTAACATAAATTTGGTTCACTCTTAACTTTTGAGAGTTATTAGGGATATATACTTTTAAGGAATATATTTCCTCCATAAAACTACCTCTATCTATATTCTGTTTATGACCTTTGGTCTGAAGAATCAGTTAGAATGTTGAAATGGGGTGTGTGTGTGTGTGGGTGTATGTGTCTGAATGAAAAAATTGATTGACACACAGAGACTTTACTCTGAGTTGGTTAGTGAATACTGTGAGGTGTGTAATGATGTTACAGTTATTGATACTCTGACATACTTGGCTGCTCAGAAATACTTCCCGATTCTCCCAGAAACATAACCCAGGCACTTTTAGGCTGAGAAGCGAAGGCTCCATGACTTAGAATCCTTACCTTTACCATCCAGGCATGTTCCTAATCATGCCCCTTAGAGCTGGTTTTATTTATTTATTTTTTATTTTTGGCCGCGTTGGGTCTTCGTTGCTGCATGTGGGCTTTCTCTAGCTGCGGCCAGCAGGGGCTACTCTTTGTTGCGGTGCGCGGGCTTCTCATTGAAGTGGTTTCTCTTTGTTGCGGAGCTTGGGCTCTAGGCGCGTGGGCTTCTGGGCTCCGTAGTTGTGGCTCTCGAGCTCTAGAGCGTAGGCTCAGTAGTTGTGGCGTGTGGGCTTAGTTGCTCTGCGGCATGTGGGATCTTCCTGGACCAGGGCTCGAACCTGTGTCCCCTGTATTGGCAGGGGGATTCTTAACCACTGTGCCACCAGGGAAGTCCTTGGAGCTGGTTTTAGATTGTCAACTTTATTTGTTCAAATTACAGCCCTTAAACTGCCTCTGATTTATTCTGACTTTACCCATATTGTTCTTTTTCTCCCTTTTTGAACTAATGGGAGGTAAATGAAGAAATAAAAGATGAATTACTTTATATTTCATCTTTTGTTTCTCCACAGAGTGTCACTCTTCTCCAGAAATTTATTCAACTCCATATTTCTCCAGTACAGGAAATAGTTTTAAAAGCAAATGGAATCTAAGAGTTTAATGTTCATTGTTTTTAGTCTTAGCAAAACAATAGAGAATTTATTAATTTTAATGTTATTAAATAGCGGTGTTGTAATTTTGCAGTTCTCAAAAGAAATTCTTAGTCATTTAATCACAGTGATAGAAGTAATGAAATTATATTACAGAAAATTGGCAAAATAAAATCACCCATAATCCTGTCACCTTAATTCAACCTTTATTATCTTTTTAATCTATTTCTTTCTAGTGTGGCTTCCTGTGTTGATTTTTGCATAGCTTTAATCAGAGTGCAATAACATTTTATATCCTGGTTTTTCACTTAACGTAAAATAATTTTATATTGCTGTGTATTCTAAATAACCAACATTTTGAATGCACACAAAGTGTGTTCTTGTTAATACAACATAATCACCCTCTAGGATTGAACATTTAGATTCTTTTCTTTTTTTTTTTTCCCCATCGTAGACAGTGAGGCTACAAGCAGTTTTATAAATGTAACTTCTTTTCACACTTAATTATGTGGATTATCTCCTTATGATTGGTTTTCAGATGTGGATAAAAGAGGATGGACATTTTTATGCTTTTTGAATCATGTTACCAAATTATTTCCAAAAGGTTTATAGCAATTTGCACTCGCAATCTACAAGCGTTTTACCATACTTTTTGCCAATGTTAGATATTCTCTTTCTCTGTCTCTTGTCTCTCTCTCTATATATATATACGTGTGTGTGTATATATATATATATATATTTACTTATGTACTATTTAAAAGTGGTACTTTGTTGTTCTTTTATCTTATATTTCTTTTATTACTGGAGAGTATTATAATTTCTCCATATATTTGCTTACTAGATTTGAGTTATTTGTTTATATCCTTTGGTTATTTCTTTCTTTTATGCTTACTTTTCCATTAGCAGTTTTAGGAGTTACACTTATAAGAATGATATTAACTCTTTTTGTTTACTGAAAAAAATTTTGTTTGCTTGTCTTATTCTTTAATCAAAATTTTATATTCTATTATAAACTTATCTTTATAATAGAATATACATGATAGAAGAATGAACACATAAAGCTTTCTTTTTAGCATATAATTTCTTTTGAAACTGGATTTATTTTGTGATGGCCCAAATGATACTATGGTATTCCTCACCATATGTATATTTGGTAGCCAAGAATACTTTAGGTAATACAGATAACCTGACAATTTTCTAATTTTATAGGAAAAGAGGAGCTAAGGTTGTATCCAAGAGAGTTGATGATTTCAAAGAAAAATTTCAACATAAACTTGGAAGAATTTTAGATCCGTAAGTTCATGATTAACTTAGAATTGAAAATGTTTTTGGATCAAATTTACAAACTACTCTTGTGGTAAATTTTGGTTTGTGTTTTATTAGGTTCTATCAATTAAATAAGGATCATCCTTTTGTGTTAATCAGGGAACTCTTATTAGCCTCTATAGCGCTTGGGGTTCCAGGAAAGTACTGAGTCTCCAAAATGGACAGGGTCTTTGGAGAACAGGGTGGAAGAATTTTGTGTAAAGCTTTATTTCTGAGATCTCAGAAATTTAACTTATTGCATTATATTTTCCTCTCTCTTCCCTGTCCCTGCCCCCCCCCCCCCCCCATGTATATATATGTACTTCCATAATTCTGCTTTGAGTATGTTCTGTTTTTTCTTTTTCAGTCTGGACTTTTTCACTGAAAGCCAGTGAAAGCATTCAGCCATTGCTAATGCGAGTGGGAGATTAGGAAAAAGATCTGTTGGAGAACTTCTGTTTGATTCTCATAGTTTGGTTATAGGAGAAAATATAGGCGATTAAAAACATATGGCAAACATATTTTAAATTCCAGGGATGCCATGTGGTGGGAATTTTCACTAAAATATTTGTTTTCTTTAATAGCATTGCAGAAACAATGAATGTTCCCCCAGACCACACATTTGGGGCTTGTCTCCGTCCTGAGGAGTATGGTAAATATACAAACTTTCTTCTTAAAAAACAAACAACAAAATCCCCCCCACCCCCCAAATCATGCAGTTAAGTTCACCGTCTCCTTCTCTCAAAGCTTCTAATTTTAATGGCTTAAAATATTACATTAACATTAAAGAGAACAATTTGTAGCACAAGAAAGAAACAAAATTTTCATATTATATTTGGAATAGGAACAGTTTAAAGCCCTTGTAATGAATTCCTTAAGTGTATTTAAGGCTCAGAATTTTATTTAGAAAATAAATAAGGCCTGTATTAAACAAGCCAAAGTGAAGTGAGGCAGCTTTTTAATGAATTCCAATATTGTACTAGGCCCTTGTTACTCAAAATGTGGTTGCAGATGGGCGGTGTTGGTGGTCCCTGCAAGGTTCTTAGAAATGCAGAATCTCAGGCTCCACCCCAGACCTACTGAATCAGAAACTGCAACATACCCAGATGAACTGTAGGGACATTCAAGTTCCAGAAAGCACTGTACTCTACAACCACATACTTAAGAACCACTCTTCCCACCAGCCAATCAATTAATCAACCTATAAAGTGGCAGAAGAAAATTCCCAGGATTTTGTTTTTAGTGCTAAGGGATCTAAACAGCAGACTTCCAAAGGGAAAACTCTGCCAAAACTTATCAGGATTGGGCTGTATTTTACTGGTTTTCAAAATACAGTCTGCAGTCTACCTGCATTAAAATCACCCAGAGAATTTATTAAATATGCAGGTTCCTGGGACCCATGCTCCTATATTCTCATGTATACTAAACTTTAAGAACTGCTACTAAAAATGTGTTAAAGTCCACTCACTGACAAATAAAATACATATTTACTGAGCTTCTGCAACATGGTGTTTCAGAGCACCATGAATCATCACATTAGGAGATTATATTTTGGTTCTGTTTTTAGATCAACTGTTACATGTTTAATGGATGCCTGCCCATCTTAGAGGCTCTTCATACCTCTAGAAGTGGGTAAGGGATGATTCAGGAAATCCATCAGTTAGCCTGAAATACAAGTAGATAATCATGCTCAGCTGCCTACTCGAGGGCAGGTTCATGCTGGTTGGCGCCCCATCTTGCTGTCTGTTGGATTCTTGGGGTCTAGCGCACAGTACATTATTTTCCCCGGTATCCATAGCATGAATCAATGTATCTAACACATAGTTTATCATGTTGACAATTAGGCAACATTGACAAATTTCCTAATAGTTGAGCTACATTACCCTTAAAAGTTGAATGATAAGATAGAGCTATAAAGTGAAAAGGAAGGACACTGACATTAAAAGTTTAAAAAATGTGTCAGTATTGGCCTTGGCACCGTACAGCGTAACTGTGTAAGGGGACTGTCAGCCCTCTCTAGACTTTTCCTGGAGCTCACGGATGGACACAGATTAACCCCAGTGGCCTTTTGTGACTACTGTTGGGGTTAACTAGCAGCATCTATTCCGTGGAAAGCTTCAGGGTCTGCCTGCTTCCGAGAACATATTGGTTTCTTTACTGGGCCTGGATTGCTCCCTTACCCTTACTTAGGGAAAGAAAGGCAACTGCACAAAGAATGCCTCATCCCTCAGGCCTGGGGTTGTTTGTTATGTTACGATGCTTCCAGGAAGAGTGCAAGGGCTGTGTCCAGCTCCCAGAATGCACCAGGGCAGAGGCGATGTGGAGGAGAATCCGGCTCCCAGAATGCACCAGGGCAGATGCGATGTGGAGGAAAATCATAGGCAGTAGTGCATCATGAGAATTGGTAGCAGGCAGGGTGCAACTGAGGAGCAGGCGTGGCTTTTCTGATGTCCCTGGCGTGGTAGCAAGGTCATGGGTCTCTCTCTTAGGGCCACAGCTTGTACTCCTGATTTCAGCTCTTTAGAGGTGGCTCTTGAGTAGTTGTCAGTGATTTGACATGAGCTTCATAAATATTCTCTCAGGGCCAGGCCAGAAGAGGGTATCAGCGTACCTCTCATCCACTAGGCAGTCATACCTGGTAGGGTTGTGCAGGTAGAGTTGGAGATACAACCATTCAAATGGTTATTTTTGGATGTTAATGGAGAGTGAAGGCCTCTGAAGAGAAAAAAAAACTCAACCAAGAGCCATCTTGTGGAAGAGCCGGGGCAGGGGGAGGTCCTTATACAGAGCAGCCCCCCAGAGGGTTGACATCAGGGGAAGAAATGTGGAAGAGGAAAGGAAGCCACACTTATGTGTCAAAAATCACCCCTAATCACTTTGATTTCCTCTCGCAGAGCCTTACTTGGGTTTTGCCTACGTTAGGATGGTCTGATAATAGCTGACCCTGTTTCAGATGATCTTGTTCTGAGGCACTTGGCCAGTTCCTGGAACTAGCACTGGTTGTGGGCTTTTCACCCACATTTAGGGTCTACCCTTAGAAAGAAGGCTTTTGTCAGAATATGCAGGATTAACTCCTGATTTTATAATAAACTTAGAGGTGCTACGAGCACCTATTAAAAAAGACCCTTGACAGAGCCTAATAATATAGGGCCTTGTACAAAGTAGGTGTGAATATTAGTTGCCTTGAACTGCAACCAATGTTGCAATTTATTTTTTTTCAATTTTTAAAAATTGAAGTATAGTTGATTTACAATGTGTTAATTTCTGCGGTACAGCAAAGTTATACATACATATACATATACATTAAAAAATTATTCTCCTTTATGGTTTATCATAGGCTGTTGAATATACTGCCCTGTGCTATATAGTAGGACTTTGTTGTTTATCCATTCTATATATAACAGTTTGCATCTGCTAACCCCAAACTCCCAATCCTTCCCTCCCCCAACCCCTTACCCCCTTGTCAACCACCAGTCTGTTCTCTATGTTTGTGATTCTGTTTCTGTTTCATAGATAGGTTCATTTGTGTCCTATTTGAAATTCCACATATAAGTGATATCATATGGGATTTGTCTTTCTCCTTCTGACATACTTCACTTAGTATGATCCTCTGTAGCTGCATCCATCAATGTTGAAATTTAAATTAACCTACCCAGGATATCACAGCCAACTGCCAGCATGACCCTGTCGCAAGAAAGCAGGAAGGGAGGGGTACAGGCCAGGGGAAAAAGAACAGAGGCAGAAGGTTTCTTCTGGTGACATCCACCAAGCCGTCACACCTGAAGCAACATGGTCAACTCTGGTCTGATCTGTGTCACCATTAACATCCAAGCAATGGGGTTTAGAGGTAGTGTGTTTGTACTTTCTTTGTGTCATAATTCAGGAAAGTTCCTTTAAGTCATGAAAGAAAAGTAGAAGCAAGGGCTGGGTCTGGCAGTGGCATCAGGTGGATTGGAGGGGTTATTACTCGGGGTTGTGGGTCAGGACTCACTTAATGGACTGTGAATGGAGGTCTTCTGTGCTGGTAATAGTGTAGGGGAAGCAGGACAGAAATGGGGACTTGGTGTGCAGACTGAAGGCAGACTGGAAACTCACATTAGGAAGGAGTAGGGAACTTGTGTCCAGTTTTTACAAGGTTTCCCAGATGTTTAGTCAACCTTGAGGCACACAGAGTGACCCCCACGTGGAATCAGCCCCAGCTTTCAGATCCTCAGCCTTGTAGGCAAATGTCTGCCAAGAGGGTGTCAGGCAAGGACTTTGTTGTCTTAGGAAAGGATTTGACAGCTGAGTGGGCTCACGATTCCCCCATAAAATTCATTTTTTCAGATTTTTTTCATTGAGCAAAGAAGTCGCATAAAGCAGAAGTATTCATTTTTATCAATTACTTTGTACTTTTTTTTATAAAAAGAATTTTCTGTCATGATGCATAATAGTATTGGAGTTAGGTTTTTTCATTCACAGAAGTTGCTAGATCTCTCTCTGTTTTAGTTAGTGTGGGAATAATTGTGACAGGCTTTAAATTCAGATAAAAGACTTTTTTTCCCCCTCTCTTCAATAGGAGCTGGTGATCTCACCCACAGAAGACTTCCGGGAGAATATCTCCGAGGCAAGGACAGACAGAGAGCCCTGGTTGCAGCAGTGCGACAACACTTAAAGAAAGTTAACTACCAAAACTTTGACACTTTGCTGGCAGCCTTCAGACACTATGACAAGGCCAGTAGTAAAGTGAAGCTTTTTTGGTCTACGCATGGGCTTACAGGTCCCAGCAGGCTGGTGTAGATCAGGATCAAGTCCAGTCCACCACCTGTTTTTGTAAATAGTTTTACATGCCTATATTTTAAAAAAATTGGGGTGCATGTATCTCTTTGAATTAGAGTTTTCTTTGGATATATGCTCAGGAGTGGGATTGCTGGGTCATATGCATGCCCATTTGTTTTAAGTATTGTCCACAGCTGCTTTTGCAACTACACATGCAGAGACTGAATGGCTTGCAAAACCTATGATACCTACTTTTTGGCCCTTGACAGAAAATGTTTGCTGGAGTAGACCTGCGTTGTCAAAATGTGGTTCTTTCACCATCATCAGTGTCACTTGGGAACATGCTAGAGATGCAGGTCCTAAGGCCCACCCCAGACCTCCTGAATTAGGAACTTGGGGTTGGGGTCTAGCAACTGTGTTTTAACAAGGTTTTCAGTGATTCTGATGCAGGCTGAGGTTTGAGAACCACTGTTGCAGATCATTAAACTGGAGTGTGCTGGGAGCCTGGGGGATGGACAGTCTCTGCCTCATTCTGAATGTGTACACACGGTACTGTCAGTCTGGTCCAAGTCAAACTTAGAACGCTCTCCCCTGGGCACCAGGTGTGGTTTCAGTTTTGAGAGTAAGATCACTCAATTTTCAAGCTCCTCTAAATTTTATTCTTTGATCAAGTCAGATCAACCCAGGGCTCCATAATTACCTGACATCATTTTAGGCCATTACAGGATTTACCAAGCTGCACAGTGCCTTAGGCTTGCACTAAGGAACGCTACTACACAAACAGTTTGTGAAACGTGGCACATTTTTTATTAGTACGCCCACGTGGCTGTTATTTATTTTTGTCACACGCATCCTCTTTATAAGGAAACCCAGTCTTTCTAAAGCACATAACTGTGCTTTGTCTAAGTATCTGGTTTGTTTTTGCTTCATGTACAGCATGACTTTGGACCAATAGTGCATACCTTTTTGACTTGGCTGCCGGGAAGCTTAGAGCCAATACAGAGAAACACATCTAGTTTGTGAATGTGATCTTATAGTATACATTTGTGCACTCTTTTTATTTCAGGTTTCATCTTATTTTAGTCCAACTTTATTTTCTCTTTGCCCTGACTTCCTCACTGTTTTTGGCTCTCATTGTACTTCTTTTTCTAGGCAGCCTCAAACCGTTTTAGAATAAGTCTAACATAAACAAATAAAAGCTCATAAATAAACCCGTGATGATGTAGTGCATCATAATCTTGATAGGAGAAGAAAAGAAAGAGCAGAATAATTGTAGTTTATCTCAAAAGGAAGAAAAGATAATATTCTTATCTCCATTCCAATGTTGACTACAGTTTTAGAAAAGTGACACCTCACAATTTTTATCTTATGAAAAAATCTTGATCACTCATTGGCTAATTCATTTTAAGCCCATGCGTTTTATCTGATTTTAGATTAGGGGCCTGTGTACCTGTGATGTACTGGTGAATAAAAAGTGGGTTAAATATCTCAGTTAAGTTTGTACTAATTATGTTGGGACAAACACCAATCAGTCATCAACGACATTTCTCACAAAGTTGTGTTTAAAGAAAATGTAAGTATTCAACTGTTTCTCTGGTTTTTAGTAGAGACCGATTGCTATTTACAGGTAATTTAAAAATTATTCTTCAGAATTAAATTACTTAAGAAAAACAAGTATATATATATATATATATTTTTTTTTTTTTTTTCTGCACGCGGGCCTCTCACCGCTGTGGCCTCTCCCGTTGCGGAGCACAGGCTCCAGACGCGCAGGCTCAGCGGCCACGGCTCACGGGCCCAGCCGCTCCGCGGCATGTGGGATCCTCCCGGACCAGGGCACGAACCTGTGTCCCCTGCATCGGCAGGCGGACTCTCAACCACTGTGCCACCAGGGAAGCCCCTGAATAGTTAACTTTTAATATGTACAATGTAGTGCTCAGTACCCTTGAGGAGCTTTTTTTTTCCTGAGTGGGTAATAAGATGTGGGTCTTCCTAGTACAGCTGTAGGATTGTTTTTGATGATTAGAATCTTATACTGTTGAATGCCCAGATTTAATTTAATTGAAAAGCAAAACAAAACAGAACAAATAAACTGTGATTTCCTAAATGACTCTTCTTGGCTTAGAGGATTAATTCTGTTATTTGTTGAACACTGACAGCGCATCAAACATTATCCCAGATAATGTGCAGGCTTTTAACTCAGGGAACTTAAAATCTAAAGTGGGTGGGGGGGGGAAATAAAGACTCATCATGTCCAAGAATGGTCACAGCAGAGTCTCAAATTTTCAAAATAGGTATATATAATTCCAGCTCCTTTTATTCTGCCTATTATCCAGGAAGTAGCTGAGATGGGATGGTTCCTTTTGGGGGACAGTTGCATTCATTGACAAAACTGGTTTACTAAGACGTGTGAGCAAGGCTGTTCCAAAGCTCAGTAATACCAGGCTGCTGTGGATGGTTGGGGGCAGAAAAGGTTCATTGAATACCTTGACTAATAGCTCATTGTTGAGTAGCCTTTGTGCTATAAGTCACACCACTGTCAGACCGAAAGTGGTCCAGAAAGCAAAGCATGTGACTCAGATGAATTGCACGGGCCACACTTTTGTGTCTGGAGCTGGCTCATTGGACTGAAATAGCGATTCTATAACTTGAAAATGTGTCAACAGAGAGATGTACCATCAATAGCTCTGAGTGGGGACAAAGGTTCGTGTAGTCAGTATGCCAGGAGCATGGGACAATGCCTTGTGTGTGATGTGTCCTCCCTCACCATGAGACAAATGGGTCAGCTTGTGGCAGGAGTCACAAGTTAGGCATGTGGTGGTAGCCTCTGCCTCAGAAACGTCGACTGCTTTTTTGGCACTTTGTCTAATGGTGCGTGTATTGTCGTGTCTGCTACAAGGATGGATCCAGGCAGCGATTGTGCCACCTGGGTGGTGCAGACTCAATCCAAAGCTTGATTCCTGTCATCCACATCAGAGGATGGACCCTTATCCTGGGCATCTATGTGAATTACCTGGATGGTTCACTCAGCAGCCGTGATTTGTTTCCATAGTTTTCTTTTTTTTTTTTTTAATTGGAGTACAGTTGATTTATAATATGTTGGTTTCAGGTGTACAGCAAAGTGAGTCAGTTATACATATACATATATCCACACTTTTTGTTTTAGATTCTTTCCCCATGTAGGTCATTACAGAGTATTGAGTAGAGTTCCCTGTGCTATACAGCAGGTTCTTATTAGTTATCTATTTTATATATAGTACTGTGTATATGTCAATCCCAATCTCCCAATTTATCCTTCCCCCCCATTCCCTGGTAACCATAAGTTTGTTTTCTACATTCGTGATGCTATTTCTGTTTTGTAAATAAGTTCATTTGTACCTCCTTCTTTTTCAGATCCACATATAAGTGATATCATATGATATTTGTCTTTCTGTGTCTGATTTATGTCACTCAGTATGACAATCTCTAGGTCCATCCATGTTGCTGCAAATGGCATTATTTTGTTCATTTTTATTCCATTGTATATATGTACCACATCTTCTTTATCCATTCCTCTGTTGATCCATAGTTTTCTGTCTCAAAAAGAGGTGTCTTTAATCTTCCAATCTGTAGTGGTCTTTTAAAAAATTTTTTAAATTTAAAAATTTTTAATTTTCTATATTTTTGGCCATGCCAGGCGGCATGTGGGGTCTTAGTTCCCCAACCAGGGATCGAACCCATGCCCCCTGCATTGGAAGCATGGAGTCCTAACCACTGGACTACCAGGGAAGTCCCCAGTCTGTAGTTTTCCAAGTGGCAACCAAGCACGCAGGCCATTGGCAACAGTCCAAGAGTCAGTAAAAATATAACAGATTCATCAATGGCAGGATTGGCCGGAGCTGTGAGAACAACCTTGAGTTCTGCCCACTGAGTAGAGTGACTATGCCCTTTTTTGGTCCTTAGCTCTTACTGAGGTTGAAAGCCACAGCAGACCAGTGAAGACCATTGGGTTTCAGGTTAGTGAACCAGGCCCAGCGTCTCTACGTGGTGAAATCATTATTCATAGAGACTTGCAGCTCAAAGGGGTCATGAGGGTTGAGGGGCCCCAAAGGTACTAGCATTCTCTCCATGTGGCTTCTCTTGATCATAAGTGCCTGAACATTCATAAGACAGGTATGGAAAGCATCAATATCAATTGACACATTCAGCAGTGGAAGCCACAGAAATAATATATTGTTAACTTCTCCACTTTGAACAAACCCTGCCCAAACGCCACCAGCTGATTCCTGACGTCTCTTCTTGCTGCACACTCAGTAGGGTGACGACTTTGGCACCCACAGCCAATGAAGCCGTAGTGGTTTCAGTCTCCACCCCCCTGAAGTTCCACAACATACTGGGACAGATACCTGTGGCCTGTGATTCCCCTTGGGGACAAGGAGATCTTGTCCTATACCTAGTCCTCCTTAGAACAGTTGAGGTTGGGGTATGGGGGGAGGGAAACGTCAAGGCTGCAGAGGCAGGAGTGGCTCTGTACCCAGTGAATAAGAAGCATTTTCTTTCATTATCGCTACCATCTTTTTCAGATTTGGGGACCCTCGATTCAACAGCCCACCACCCCACCTTTGCTTTTCAGTTAAGGCTGTGGGGCTCGTAGTTTTGGTTGACTTGGGCTGGCAGCAGAGACTTTCATAAAGCAGTCTACTTTTTTTTTTTTTGCGGTACGCAGGCCTCTCACTGTTGTGGCCTCTCCTGTTGCAGAGCACAGGCTCCGGACGCACAGGATCAGCGGCCATGGCTCACGGGCCCAGCTGCTCCGCGGCATGTGGGATCATCCCAGACTGGGGCACGAACTCGTGTCCCCTGCATCGGCAGGCGGACTCCCAACCACTGCGCCACCAGGGAAGCCCCATATAATATATTTTAAATTCTCATTCTCTTTCAACATGAGGGTTAGGAACATTCTCCAGGCCTATGGGTCTGGCTGCAGGAATTTCTCTAGAATTCACTGGGTCAGTTTCTTGTTCTCAAGGGGATTGTCTTCACCAGCGTTGTGAATCCAACCCTGGGTCTAGGAGCTGATTGTTGGTGAGTCATTTATGTTTTCCCTTGGGAGTTTAACTATCTCGGAGAAATCTCTCTGAGAGGGCCAAACTCCCTTATAGCAGCTGGCACCCACTTTGAAAACACTGGGACCTTTCCCTGTCATCTCCGATGGATCTAAGTTTGGCTTGACGGGCTGCAGGAGGGCTGAGTGGTAAGACGCCCAGCTCTGGCCATTCTTCCTTAACAAGCATTATGTGCTCCGGCCCGTCACCCTGCAAGTGAATCAGCCGGGTTCTGCCCAGAGTCTTTCTAAATTTCCCTCCTTTCACGCTCAGCGTAGGTGCTTCTGTCTTTAACTGTTGTCTGAAAGGGGTGGAAACTTCCCCTCCTCCCGCTTCCAGGATGAATCTGAGTGAATCCTGTTGTCCACGGGAGCGTTAATATCCAGCGGCAGCTGCCTTTGAATCCACTCTCTGTGCTTGGCCTGCAGCCACTTCCCTAATTTCTTCTTTTCACCAGGCAATGGGGTGTAGGACAATCACTGCCCAGTTGACTTTTTAATTTTTTCCCACACTGCGTGGCATGTGGGATCTTAGTTCCCTGACCAGGGATTGAACCCAGGCCCTTGTGAGTGAAACTGTGGATTCCTAACCACTGGACCACCAGGGAAGTCCCTGACTGCCTAGTTGGAACACCAACTTTGAAAGCATTGAAAATTGCAGAAAGCTGTCAAAAGTACACAACATTGGTCAAATGAAATGTCAAGCATGAATCATGCTTAGGCCTTCTCAACCCGAGTGTAAACAACATGATTTAATGAGAAAGATATGGGGCTTCCCTGGTGGCGTAGTGGTTGAGAGTCCGCCTGCCGATTCAGGCGACACGGGTTTGTGCCCCGGTCCGGGAGGATCCCACATGCCGTGGAGCGGCTGGGCCTGTGAGCCATGGCCGCTGATCCTGTGCGTCCGGAGCCTGTGCTCCGCAACGGGAGAGTCCAAAACAGCGAGAGGCCCGCATACCACAAAAAAAAAAATAAATAAAATAAAAATAAAATAATGAGAAAGATATTAAAATGAACAAAGGCTGTGAGCCACACTCCACTCCAACCAGGGTTGAAATTACCGGGCACATATCAGATGGACACGATGGGGACCAATCTCGCTTAGTATCTGACTCTCCTTATGTGAAAAATAGGACCGATTCTTTGAATTTATGTGATAGAGCTCTTTCTTTTTTTCTTAAAGGAAATAACAGATGTTGCCTACTCTGCTCGTGAAGACAATGCTCACGTCATCTTTTTTTGCTTCGTGTCTAACAGAAGGGAGATGGGGCCATAGATAAAGCTGAGCTTCGGGAAGCATGTGACCAGGCCAGTGTGCACATAGATGAGAAGCTCCTGGACCAGCTATTTGAATACTGTGATGTGGATAACGACGGGCTGATTAACTACCTTGAATTTGCAAATTTTCTTAACTGGAAAGATAAAACCCCCCTTAAGGAGTATGAAGAGAGGGTCATTATTAAAGGTATTTAATTTCTGAAGCCTTGCTAAATTCTTAAATGGACTTTAGTATTTTCTTTTTCTTGGGAGTTTGACTCTTGTCAACTTTAATATTATATATTTAAAGATACATACATATACATATATTTGTTTTTATTTTTATGCATAGAATATCTGTGGAAGGTTAGGAAAGAATTTGATAACATTTCTTATTTCCGGGGAGGGGACACTGGTTGCTGAGGGTCAAAGCGGCAGCGAGACTCACTTTTCAATCTATGTTTTTGTATCTTTTAAGTTTGGAACCGTGTATTACTCATTCAAAAGAAAACAATTACAAGCAAAACAATTTACACAGAAGCCCAAAATATGAAAGAGAGTTCCTCAGAAAGCTGTTTGAAAACCATTTTCTTAGAGAAATTAGCTCCCCTCCCCCAGGAAAAGTCAATTGTAAAACAGAATTTGATCTGTTAAATTTTTTTTTTTTTTGCGGTACGCGGGCCTCTCACTGGTGTGGCCTCTCCCGTTGCGGAGCACAGGCTCCGGACGCGCAGGCTCAGCGGCCATGGCTCACGGGCCCAGCCGCTCCACGGCATGTGGGATCTTCCCAGACCGGGGCACGAACCCGCGTCCCCTGCATCGGCAGGCGGACTCTCAACCACAGCGCCACCAGGGAAGCCCGATCTGTTAAATTTTTAAAAGGAAAAACATAATCTTTACTATTATTCAAATATCTTCATGTTTACACATTATCTTCCTGCGTCACTAACCATATATAGATATACATATATACATATGTGTGTGAGCATATGGAAAATTTTTTTAATAAGCTTGTTCTTTGTTTTTAAAATTAATTAATTAATTAAATTTATTTTTGGCTGTGTTGGGTCTTTGTTGCTGCATGCAGGCTTTCTCTAGTTGCGGTGAGCAAGGGCTACTCTTCATAGCGGTGAACAGGCTTCTTATTGCAGTGGCTTCTCTTGTTGTGGAGCACCGACTCTAGGCGCACAGGCTTCAGTAGTTGTGGCACACAGGCTCAGTAGTTGTGGCTCGCGGCCTCCAGAGCGCAGGCTCAGTAGTTGTGGCGCACGGGCTTAGTTGCTCTGCGGCATGTGGGATCTTCCCGGACCAGGGCTCGAACCTGTGTCCCCTGCATTGGCAGGTGTCTTCTTAATCACTGTGCCACCAGGGAAGTCCATGTATGGAAATATTTTAAAATAGCTAAAATCACGGGGACTGTACCATTTTTATTTGGCTAAAAAAAAAAACTTAGCTCTCAAATTTCTATGGAACGAAGAGATACTTTTATGGTTTCTGTAAACTTTATTTTCAGTTCCCTTAAGCTGAGGTATTATGAATGACTAAGCCATTTCCTCACTTTTTAAAACTTAGGTTATTTCCAGATATTTAAAAAGTAATATGGGTGACGTTATAATGATTATCATCTCTGAGAAAGCTTTCTATTTCTATCTCATTTCTTATGAATGTTATTTTTGTCCCAGAAGTAACTCTCTCTTTCATTTTGCTTTTTTAAATGATTGCACCAAATTGCAATTTTATCAGTCACGTTGGTGAGAAGGTTTTACTCCAATCTTGCTACCACTGAGTGTTATTTCAAACATTCTTGTGATTTAGTTGTTATATAATGATACCTCGTTTGCTTTAATTTTCAAGTCTTGATTCTTACAGACGATTAACTTTTGAAAGATTGTCTACATGCTTACCTCCTCTTGGAATATCTCTCCTCTAAAACGTGAAGATACTCCTGTTTTCACTTTTATTCCTGCAAAGCCAGTACCACATTTGGGGCTTTATTGACCACGGGAGCCCTTACCAGTTTCTGGGATGGCTTTTCTCTGCTGTCCACTAGGAAAGCAGGAGGATCTTCTCTACCTAATGAAGCTTTTTATAGAAAACAACTCTACCCTAGTTCTCTCAGAAATAAATAGAGGGTGACAGAGTATTTTCCTTCTTGGAACAATTCATGAAGCAAAAGCCTGCTTTCAAACCAGGTGGTTCTTCTAATTGTTCCCGGTTGCGGGGTCCTGACTTGAGCTCCATTTTCAACGGAGTTCTTGAGGTTTTCCTCTTCTTCTAAGACAGTGGCTGGTGGGTCAGTCAGAAGGGACTCGGGAATGTATTGCCAGGAATTTTCTTATATCAAGTTCCATCTTACTGTTGACGGCTGGAGAAAAGGGGGTGCTTCCTTTAAGGCAGGGGCTTTCGAGCAGTTTTCTGAGAAACTATTTTTCATACTTGGTCCAGATTTCTGCCTTTTGCGCCCACCCACTCGTGGGTGCAGGGACTGGGTCCAGAGGGTCTGGAACACTGGGCCCGACGCTTTCACTGCAGCGATGGGCAGGGGCTGAGTCGGGGGGTGCAGACTTTAGATGGGTCTGTCTTTTCTGGTTTGCCACCCCGATCGGGCACTGGGGCACTCTTCGCCTGTGTAACCGGTGCTGGGCCTTCCCCAGCACCTTGAGTTCCTCCAGCGCTCGAGAGACCACAGCGCCGCCTAGTGCTAGCTGTGTACTTAGCAGCTCCATGAAAAAGCTGTGTCAGGAATTTCCTCCTCAACTTCAGAACTGACTCAGCAAAGCAAATCTGCAAAAGAGAACAGACTCTTACAGGGTTTTCTCTTATACACTGATTGGAAGGGAGTTATTTATAGAATCAGTTCTTGCGCTCACAGCGAGCTCTCGTCGCTTCTCCAAATGTCACAGTGCACGGGGGCTCCCTCCCTACCGCGGCGATCAGGTTATGTGTGGAATTTACAGCTCCAAATATTTCTTCTCCTGTCCCTCCCCAGGGCACAGTCTTAGGAACAACTCTGGTAATCCTGCAGTTCAAGTCAAATATGAAAATAGGCTCTAATTTTAAAAAAGAGGAAAGAAAGAAAAAGTTCTCCGTTTTCATTTGGTGTTTCAGATTTAAAAGCTTCGTTCTAGAATAAAATGAGTGCAGTGGTGAGCAGAAACATTAGACCTTGTTCAGATTTCCTGCTGTATGACCTTGGACTGAACTTGTGCTTCCACAGTGGCTACTGGTGTCAGCGGAGGATCTACACCAGCTCAGCCTCTGTTTCCACCAGCAAGAAGAGGCTAAATGGGAAAACTCATCTTGTTACAGGGCGAGCACCAGGTAGTAACTTTGTGCTGTACTTTTTGTTCCCCCTTTCTGTCTTTGCTTGAAGGTGGAAAACCAGATTGTGCAAACCCTGCTGAGGCTAATGTAGAAGAATCTGAACCAGCTCTCCTGATAAAGCCTGAAGATATTGTCTTGAAAGAGCCAGGGAGCTCAGAAAAGACTCTGCGGACACTTCTGAGGCCAAGCGATAAAGTTTCTAATCACTACGAGACCACTTCTTCGGAGATCAGTGCAGTTGTAGGCGCTGTTCCTTCTACTTGTGAGTATGTCACATAATTTGCGGAGTGTTAAAAGGATCAACAAACACAGAAGGGGAGTGTCCTTTGTCTGTCCTTGCATTGTCCCCCAGCCTCTATTAGACTCTAACTTTCTCAAAGCCCAGGACCTTTCATTAAGTTCTGTATTCTAAGCACCCAGGAAGGCTCAATAAATGTAGGCTGAATTGAACTAGTGTTCATGGTGACCCAAGTAAAATGACCCTCTCTGTATCAATGAAACTGAAACCATCATAGCTCAGAACCCGGAATGTTAGACCTCGTCGTAATTCAGACTTCACCAAGGGCTAGGAGACTTTTGAACCACGTGATTCTTAGCTACAAACAGATTTGCCTTCAAATATTTGATGAGCTCTTACAGAATGGTTCCTTACATCTTTATTCCCCCTCTGTTAGTCTGCTAGGGCTATCATAACAAATACCACAAACTGAATGGCTAAACAGCAGAAATTGATCGTCTCATGATGGCTGGAAGTCCGAGGTCAAGGTGTTGGCAGGGTGGCTTCCTTCTGAGTGCTGTGAGGGAAAATCTGCTCCAGGCCCTATCCTGGATTCTGGGGGTTTGCCGGCAGTCTTTGGTGCTACTCAGCTTCTGCTGCACCAGCCTGATCTCTGCCTTCGTCTTCATCTGATGTTCTCCTGTGTGAGCATCTGTGTCCCAATGTCCCCTTTTTATAAGGACTCCAGTCATATTGGACTAAGGGTCCACCCTTCTCCCGTATAACCTCATCTTAATTAATTATTCCTGCAATGACCCTCTTTCCAAATAAGGTCACCTCCTGAGGTACTAAGGGTTAGAACTTTAACGTAAAAGTCTGGGGAGGGTACAGTTCAACCCATAACTGCCCAGATCTCAATATCAAGCATGATGAATTTAGAAGACTCTTTTATATTGGTCAAGATCCCTTTTTTGGACTAAGGCCATGATTAAGGATTTACATATTTTTCTCAACTGGATTTCATAGACATGCTTTACATTCTGTTGTGATGAGAGCTTGCTACTTGCTTTGGAATAGTGTTGCCCAATAGAAATACAATTGGTGTTGTATGTATTTTTTTGTTTTAATTTATTATTTATTTTTGGCTGCGTTGGGGCTTCCTTGCTGCATGCAGCCCTTCTCTAGTTGCGGCGAGAGGGGGCTACTCTTCATTGGGGTGTGCGGGCTTCTCATTGCGGTGGCTTCTCTTGTTGCAGAGCACAGGCTCTAGGCATGTGGGCTTCAGAAGTTGTGCCTCGCGGGCTCTAGAGCGCAGGCTCAGTAGTTGTGGCGCACGGGCTTAGTTGCTCCGCGGCATGTGGGATCTTCCTGGACCAGGGCTCGAACCCGTGTCCCCTGCATTGGCAGGTGGATTCTTAACCACTGTGCCACCAGGGAAATCCTGGTGTCATATATATTTAAAAAATTTTAGTAGCCACATTAAGAAGAAGAAACAGGTGAAATTAACTTTAATAGTATATTGGGAATTCCCTGGCAGTCCAGTGGTTAGGGCTTGGTGCTTTCACTGCCGAGGCCCAGGTTCAATCCCTGGTCAGAAAACTAAGTTCCTGAATGCTGCGTGGCACAGATAAAATAAAAAAAAATTTTTTTTAATAGTATATATATATATTTTATATACAATATGTATCTCCAAAGTACTATCATCTCAACAAGGAATCAATATAAAATGATTAAATGTCTCACATTCTTGTTTTGGGTACTACATCTTTGAAATTGTGTATTTTACACTCAGAGCACAGCTCAGTTTGGACCAGCCACATTTCCAGTGCTCAGTAGGCACATGGTTGGTGGCGGCTGTATTTAGAATGTCTGTTTTCCTCCCCCATCCATGTCCTAGGTTACCCCATCTACGGTGTTCCAACCATTCGGTCCGATATTCCCGCCCCCCAAATTCGCCGTATCAGTGACAGAACCAATTATGGTGAAGAGGGAAATGCCTATTCATTGCTGTATCCTACCATCTTTGGCCAGAAAGGATTGTTTGAAAGAGACTTCTTCAAGACCAGATCCAAAAAAGAGGTACAACATGTGATTTCAAAAGGGTTGAAAGAAAGGCCAACGACACACAAAGGTGGAAATGTTTATTTGCTTGAGCGTTTATATTACAAAAGTCATCAGGAGCACCCCGTTCCCCCCCCCATTAGGATTCTTGAGGATAATGTTCAATTTGGTTGTGATATTTGGTATAATTCTTGAAGTAGAATTTACTCTAATAAGAAGCATTACACTCACGTCATATATTCACTATGACCTATGTATAAAAAGAAAACTGTTTTCCTAAGATATTCAACACTATTCTTCGTTGAGTAAAAGCAAAGAGGCTCAATCCCTTCCTTGTGTAAGTACCCTTGTAGTCTTGGGTCTCCATAACCAAAGAGTAAGTGTGAGGAGGGCCACTCTGCCATCCTTATGAGCTGCTATCTCAGATTATCTACAACAAGCACTGATTTAAAATGTTCTGTCCTGTTGCCACGTGTCAGCCCATGTGTCTTGTTTTTTCTCTTGGTAAACATGGTCTTCATGGCCCAGGTGATTTTCTTCCTAGGTTTGTTATAAAGCAGGTGCAACCGGCTAGGCCAGAATAGCCATTGGGTTTCTGAGGGCCGAGGAGTAACGGCAGGTCTTGGTCAGAGCAGCCTGTCTAGATCTGTCATTGTGGAAAGCAGGCTGTGATCAAGGGAGCAAGTGCTTCTTCGAGCTTTCAAATCCAGAGCTAGAAATGATGTGAACAGACGTGTGATGCTTTCTGGGACTTCACATGCAGGGTTGATGGCTTGCAAACTTGCAAACTTAGTAACAGATTCATTCCAATGATTCATTCCCACTGAGGTGGGGGTAGAGGAGGGGAGAAACTCAGAGGAAGATGCCTCCTGGCTGGTCCCAAAGAAGGAACCCAGGATCCACCACAGAGGGTTAGAGAAGAGACATTCGCAGACTGTATTTTCTCTTCCCTCAGTCACTCTAAAGGGCCTATGAAATAGGGCTTTAGGGCCACCAAAAGAAACAAAAATCTCCTGCTTGTTTCCTGATGCCTAAAATTCTTTTAACTAGGAAGTCATCCTTTATCTCACAATTCTAGGTAGGAAGTAAGAACCCAGAGGCCTGCACATATACTATTCCAACTAAATGACATTCTAGAAAAGGCAAAACAATGGAGAAAGTAGAAAGACCGATGGTTGCCAGAGGGTTGGAGAGAAAAAGGGACAGATGAATAGGTGTAGCACAGAGGATCTTTAGGGCAGTGAAACTATTTTGTATGATACCATAATGGTGGATACGTGTTATTATACATTTGTCAAAACCCATAGATTATGCAACGCAGAGTGTGAACCCTCATGTGAACTATGGACTTTGGTTAACAATAATGTAGCAATATTGGCTCATCAACTGTAACAAATATACCGCACTCATGCAAGATGTTACTAACAGGGGAAAAGAGGGGGCAAGTGATAGAGCATACGGGAACTCTAGATAATTTCTGCTCGATTTTTCTAGAAACCTAAAACTGCTCTAAAAAATAAAGTCTATTAAAAAAAAAAAAAAAGGAACCCAGAGACCTGCTTGGAGTAATAACGTCACCTTGAGAATGGATGGGTTTCCGTAAAAGTGTTAGCTAATCAATACACGAGGATGGAAAACTGAATGAGGGTAGGAATGCCTCCCAAAGTGTTGGGAAGGAAGCAGGGGAGAAGGGCTGGGATGCCCAAGAACACACCTCAGGGCTTCACTCTGCAGGGACATATTTTTTTTTGGCTGCACCACATGGCACGCGGGATCTCAGTTCCCTGACCAGGGATCGAACCGTAGCCCCCTACAGTGGAAGCGTGGAGTCTTAACCACTGGACCGTCAGGGAAGTCCCTGCAGGGACTTTCTTTACCTGTCACCGGGTGGAGGAAAATAGCAACTATGCACGGGTGCCTTGAGGTGCTTCTGCTGTGTAACTGCTGCTGCTGACAGCACTGCTCTCCTGAATTTCAAGTGTATTTGATTATATTGTTAATTTCCCACAAGGCACATCATATCTAGGGGACCTTTTAATTGTTAAGATTTAGTTTAATAGAGGTATTCTGAAGGTCTTCTATTTCTTTGGCTTTCCTATTCACTGTCTAACCTTTCTTTCCATTTCCCTCTTTGCTTCCCTCCTGTATGCTTCATAGTAAATGTCTTTCCTCTTTTAAATTTAGTTTCTTTTTTTTTTTTCTCAAATCTTTTCTTCCCTCTACTCATTCTAATATTTCTTCCCACTACTGGTTCTTATCTTTCCTTTCTTATATTTTCCCTGGGACATATAAAGCATATTTCCCCCCTCCCTTTATCTCTTTTACTAATTATCACTGCAGAGAGATGATTAATAACGAAAGTTTGCTGGTTTTCAATATGCTCAGATTTTAGTCTGCTCACTCGCTCGCGCGTGCACTATCTCTGCAACATTTGCACACCCCCAGCTATAATTAAAGTTTACAACAGGCCAGTTAGAGACACTCCATAAATGTTCTTTATCTTTTGGCCACGTGGCTCGTGGGATCTTAGTTGCCCGACCAGGGATTGAACGTGTGCCCCCTGCAGTGGAAGCACACTGGACCGCCAGGGAAGTCCCATAGATATTCTTATTTTAAAGAAGAGAAACTAATATGCAAGGGGTCTAGATAACATATATAAGAGGTGACTGGGACGGAAATCAAATCCAGCAAGTCTTCTATCTTTAACTCTTTTACCCTTTCTGCTTGAATTTGGCCACTTCCCTTTAAAATAAACAGAAACACTTGGAGTTGAAAGTAATTTTATATATTGGCTAATAGAGTTGAACACGCTATATTCACTCATATTAGCAAAATGATTCCTGAGCTGAAAGTCCTGGAATTTTAATATTGGCTTATTATACGTAATAAGCCCTCCTCCCCCACCACACACACACATCCTCACATCTTTTTTGGGGATAAATGTCCATAGTCTTAGATATTATAAAGACATTTTTAAAAATACAAACTGAAAAACACATAAATATTAGCCTGACTTTGAAAGAGTTTTTTTTTCCCCCTAGATTGCAGAGATATTATGTAAAATTGGTGTCAAGCTTTCTGAGGATGAATTTGAAAATGTATGGAATCTTGCATCAAAAAAACACCACAGAGGAGAAGTTTGTGTTGAGACTATCAGAAATGTTCTGAATGAGTTACAGTACGCAGACTGGACCAAGTGCAAAACAGCCATGTGATCTTTGTGGCGTCCATTCATTTACACCAAAGAACTGTTACATCTGTGTTCACCTAAAATGTTCAGTCCATTCTGGTTTTAGATATTATAATTCAGCAATCACAGTGGTAGGGCTTATATGCCTGGTTGCGTTGCTAATAAATTAGATCTTGGACTTTAAACTTTATTTTCTTGTTTCCTATAAAGCACCAAAGAATTTGCCGAGCACTTGGAGTTAACCTTTAAGCTCGCCAAAGGCATAGCCCAGAATGATGCTGGAAGTTTGTCATGTTTATTATGCTTAAGAATGCTATGCATTTGAGTGGGTGGCCTGATATTCAAAGTCTGGTTTGTGATACCAGGGTCACAAAATTTTGACTTCAACATTTTGTTATTTTTCTCTTTAGGTGTCACTGTGACACAACTGAAGCTTAATGGGCTTTTAAGTCTCTGTCAGCATCTGGGGAAAACAGACTTAATTACAAGGAGCAGAATTTTGGGAATAAAAACTTGAGTTCCAACAACGACACGATGTCTGGTGGCTTTTCACATCTTTTCATGGCCAGAAAAGCATATTGTCCTTGGAGTATCTGTAGAGGACACAGCTGACCACACTGTTAGATGTAGCTTTAGAGAGTTACTGTTGCAAATTGTGCTGAATCATTCCCTCCCTCCTGCCTCGGCTCTTTCTTTTGTTTTGTTTTGCGGTACGCGGGCCTCTCACTGCTGTGGCCTCTCCCGTTGCGGAGCACAGGCTCCGGACGCGCAGGCTCAGCGGCCATGGCTCACGGGCCCAGCCGCTCCGCGGCACGTGGGATCTTCCCGGACCGGGGCACGAAACCATGTCCACTGCAAAGGCAGGCGGACTCTCAACCACTGCGCCACCAGGGAAGCCCTTGCCTCGCTTCTTTGATATACAAATGTGATGCCGGGGCGGGATGAGATCCAGATGGTGATGGGGAAGTGGGAGCCCAGTCCAGCGTGTTCTTTCTGTGCATCAGGAGAGCCCCAGGGTGGGTTGAATCCATGACTGAAGCTTTCTCAGCAATATCACTTGATGAATTGAATGATCAATAGCATGTATTCTACCCGTATTTCTCTGTGATAGACCTTAACATTTTGTTGTTTGGTTTTTGTCTATTAGTCTAAAAAAATTACTCTTTAATTTAGATATTGTGGTTATTCTGTATTCTACTGTTACTTTAAAAAAAAAAAAGAACTAAGGTTCAAAAGATTGCTTTACCCCATCCCTAGGAAAACTTTTTATAATCCATTTATTTTATAGGTAATTTATGTGAAAAATTTTAACTTTTTATTTTGAAATGATTTTAGACTTACAGAAGATTTGCACAAGTAGCACAAAGAATTATGCAGGGGTGGGCTGGAGCCTGCTCTTACTGTCCACTGTGGTCAACTGTGGGCATTTCTTCCCAGCACTGTGTCCCTGACGCCATGTTGGTAGCCTGAAACCAGCTACAGTGAGAGTATTTACACTAAGCAAACCAACACATGCTACAGATCGGGGATCCCCGCCCTTCCCAAAGAACATTTACAAGCACTTCTACATCTATCTGTCTATCTATTTCCCTGTCTATCTATCTATCTATTATCTACCTATCTTCCTATCTATCCATCCATCCATCCATCTACCTACCTACATACCCATCTATGTCTCTAGCCATCCATCTACCTACCTATGTCTCTATCTATGTCCCTATCTATCTATCTATCTATTTATCTATCTATCTATCTATCTATCTGACCTATCATCTCTCTATTCACCCACCTATTGACAGAGGCAGGCTCCTTGACTGAACTTTAGTCAGGCTCCTTTGAACCCTTTTCTCAATTAGGTTTTGACCTTGGGCTTCTGTGTCTGTCCTTCCTGGGCCTGCACTGCACAGTTTTAGCAAGAATCTTGCTAAGTCAGTTTACAGAGAATCCTCCCATCGTTGATATCTGATTACCCTCCATATCTGATGAAATTCTTCATCCCCCAAATATGATGTATTAACTTTGGCCTGCTTTTTTTTGATAGCTATTATAAAATGTTTATTATTAATTTGTATTTACTTCCTGAATTTTTTCGTTTGAATTTTATTTATTTTTTTATACAGCAGGTTCTTATTAGGCATCAATTTTATACACATCAGTGTATACATGTCAATTCCAATCGCCCAATTCAGCACACCACCATCCCCACCCTGCCGTGGCTTTCCCCCCTTGGTGTCCATACATTTGTTCTCTACATCTGTGTCTCAACTTCTGCCCTGCAAACCGGTTCATCTGTACATTATTCTAGGTTCCACATACATATGTTAATATACGATATTTGTTTTTCTCTTTCTGACTTACTTCACTCTGTATGACAGTCTCTAGATCCATCCACATCTCAACAAATGACTCAATTTCGTTCCTTTTTATGGCTGAGTAATATTCCATTGTATATATGTATCACATCTTCTTTATCCATTCATCTGTCAGTGGGCATTTAGGTTGCTTCCATGACCTGTCTATTGTAAATAGTGCTGCAATGAACATTGGGGTGCATGTGTCTTTTTGAATTATGGTTTTCTCTGGGTATATGCCCAGTAGTGGGATTGCTGGATCATATGGTAATTCTATTTTTAGTTTTTTAAGGAACGTCCATACTGTTCTCCACAGTGACTGTAACAATTTACATACCCACTAACAGTGCAAGAGGGTTCCCTTTTCTCCACACTCTCTCCAGCATTTGTTGTTTGTAGATTTTCTGATGATGCCCATTCTAACTGGTGAGAGGTGATACCTCATTGTAGTTTTGATTTGCATTTCTCTAATAATTAGTGATGTTGAGCAGCTTTTCATGTGCTTCTTGGCCAGCTGTATGTCTTCTTTGGAGAAATGTCTATTTAGGTCTTCTGCCCATTTTGGGATTGGGTTGTTTGTTTCTTTAATATTGAGCTGCATGAGCTGTTTATACATTTTGGAGATTAATCCTTTGTCCGTTGATTTTTCTCCCATTCTGAGGGTTGTCTTTTCACCTTGCTTGTAGTTTCTTTTGCTGTGCAAAAGCTTTGAGGTTTCATTAGGTCCCATTTGTTTATTTTTGTTTTTATTTCCATTATTCTAGGAGGTGGATCAAAAAAGGTCTTGCTGTGATTTATGTCAAAGAGTGTTCTTCCTATGTTTTCCTCTAAGAGTTTTATAGTGTCCTGTCTTACATTTAGGTCACGAATCCATTTTGAGTTTATTTTTGTGTATAGTGTTAGGGAGTGTTCTAATTTCATCCTTTTACATCTAGCTGTCTAGTTTTCCCAGCACCACTTACTGAAGAGACTGTCTTTTTTCCATTGTATATCCTTGCTTCCTTTGTCATAGATTAGTTGACCATAGGTGCTTGGGTTTATCTCTGGGCTTTCTATCTTGTTCCATTGATCTATGTTTCTGTTTTTGTGCCAGTACCATATTATCTTGATTACTGTAGCTTTGTAGTATAGTCTGAAGTCAGGGGGTCTGATTCCTCCAGCTCTGTTTTTTTCCCTCAAGACTGCTTTGTCTATTATTGTGTCTTTTGTGTCTCCATACAAATTTTAAGATTTTTTTGTTCTAGTTCCATAAAAAATGCCATTGGTAATTTGATAGGGATTGCATTGAATCTGTAGATTGCTTTGGGTAGTATAGTCATTTTCACAATGTTGATTCTTCCAATCCAAGAACATGGTATATCTCTCCATCTGTTGGTATCATCTTTTATTTCTTTCATCAGTGTCTTATAGTTTTCTGCATACAGGTCTTTTGTCTCCCTAGGTAGGTTTATTCCTAGGTATTTTATTCTTTTTGTTGCAATGGTAAATGGGAGTGTTTTCTTAATTTCACTTTGAGACATTTCATCATTAGTGTATAGGAATGCCAGAGATTTCTGTGCAATAATTTTGTATCATGCAACTGTACCAAATTCATTGATTAGCTCTAGTAGTTTTCTGATGGCACTTTTACGATTCTCTATGTATGGTATCATGTCATCTGCAAACAGTGACAGTTTTACTTCTTCTTTTCCAATTTGTATTCCTTTTATTTCTTTTTCTTCTCTGATTGCCATGGCTAGGACTTCCAAAACTATGTTGAATAATAGTGGTGAGAGTGGATATCCTTGTCTTGTTCCTGATCTTAGAGGAAATGCTTTCAGTTTTTCACCATTGAGAATGATGTTTGCTGTGGGTGTGTTGTATATGGCCTTTATTATGCTGAGGTAGGTTCCCTCTATGCCCAGTTTCTGGAGAGTTTTCATCATAAATGGGTGTTGAAATTTGTCAAAAGCTTTTTCTGCATCTATTGAGATGATCATATAGTTTTTATTCTTCAATTTGTTAATATGGTGTATCACAGTGATTGATTTGCATATATTGAAGAATCCTTGCATCCCTGGGATAAATCCCACTTGATCATGGTGTATCATGGTGTTTTAATGTGTTGTTGGATTCTGTTTGCTAGTATTTTGTTGAGGATTTTTGCATCTATATTCATCAGTGATATTGGTCTGTAATTTCCTTTTTTTATAGTATCTTTGTCTGGTCTTGGTATCACGGTGATGGTGACCTCATAGAATGAGTTTGGGAGTGTTCCTTCCTCTGCAATTTTTTGGAAGAGTTTGAGAAGGAAGGGTGTTAGCTCTTGTCTAAATGTTTGATAGAATTCACCTGTGAAGCCATCTGGTCCTGGACTTCTGTTTGTGGGAAGATTTTCTTTTTTTGCGGTACGCGGGCCTGTCACTGCTGTGGCCTCTCCTGCTGCAGAGCACAGGCTCTGGACGTGCTGGCCCAGCGGCCATGGCCCAGGGGCCCAGCCGCTCCGTGGCACGTGGGATCCTCCCGGACCGGGGCACAAACCCGCGTCCCCCGCATCGGCAGGCGGACTCCCAACCACTGCGCCACCAGGGAAGCCCTTGTTGGAAGATTTTTAATCACAGTTTCAATTTCATTACTTGTGATTGGTCTGTTCATATTTTCTATTTCTTCCTGGTTCAGTCTTGGAATGTTATACCTTTCTAAGAATTTGTCTGTTTCTTCCAGCTTGTCCATTTTGTTGGCATAGAGTTGCTTATGTAGTCTCTTAGGATGCCTTGTATTTCTGCGATGTCTGCTGTAACTTCTCCTTTTTCATTTCTAATTGTATTGATTTGTCCTCTCCCTTTTTTTCTTGA